GGCATCTAAATACCTTTGAAATTTGGCCTGAGGAGCCTCTTTTGGATAGTTAACTTTAATCACTCACTGACTGTTACCTTCCCTCTCAGTGTGTAAATGTATACCCCCCCCATCTCATTTCTTGTGTGTGGGAGATGCCTTATCTAGCCACTACCCACTTTCTTTGTCTGTTCCCTTCTAACAGGTGCTTGTCTGTCCCCTCCTTCCCCCCCTTAACCCACCCTGATCCTTACGTGTGTGTGTGGGGGGGGGGAGGTCCCTTGGATGGCAGCCCTGACTAGAGTTTTTACAGTGTTTGCTTTCAAAACACCATGGAACACACTCTGTGATATGGAGTTTGCCTACTCAGGGAGTGCTTGGCAGTCTCTGCTGGAATGTAAGTAGACAATATAATTACTCCAGTTGAAATGTGACCAGGATACTGGGGTTAACAACCCCGCTCTTGTGAAAAGTTATGTGGGCGAGCTATCAGCACTCTTGATCTTATGTCTCACCTAAGAGGCAGTTCCTCCAGCAGGGCAGTGCTCCCTCATGCCATGCCACTCTGACTCAGAGTTGAGGGTGTCACTTAACCGGTGTCTACACTAGCATTTGTCTTTGAATTTCCCATGATGACATTAACAATTGTAAGCCTTCTGCTAAGTGGAGCTGGCAACAACCAGGGCCAGCTTCGATGTCTAGGGTTTCCTTTTCAACAACACAGAACTGGCTTGACCCTCAACCCAGGGCCCTAAGGCAGCACTTTCCCACTTGCAAGTACAGAGTCTGGCTACGTCTACATTGGCAAGATTTTGCACAAATACTCTTTAACGCAAGAGTTTTTGCATTAAAGTATTTGCGCAAGAGAGTGTCTACACTGGCATGTGCCTTTGCACAAGAGATGTGCTTTTGCGCAAAAGCATCCGTGCCAGTGTAGACGCTCTCTTGCGCAAGAAAGCTCCGATGGCCATTTTAGCCATCAGGCTTTCTTGCGCAAGAAATTCATGTTGCCTGTCTACACGGGCCTCTTGCGCAAGAACAGTTGCGCAAGAGGGCTTATTCCTGAGCGGGAGCATCATAGTTCTTGCGCAAGAAGCACTGATTTCACACATTAGAAAGTCAGTGTTCTTGAGCAAGAACTCCCCGCCAGTGTAGACAGGCAGCATGTTTTTGCGTAAAAGCAGCTGCTTTTGTGCAAAATCATGCCAACGTAGACACAGCCTCTGAGTATATCATAGAAACTTTTAATGAAAGGAGAGATGTCACCCGCATTAATTAGAGAAAATGCCACAAGCAGGATTCATAAACATCAAACTGTGAGCATAGTGCAGGGGGCAGGGCCTTCTGCCTCCTGTTCTTGAGTTTTACAAGCAAAAGTTCCTTTTCTGTGCTCCTCACCACCCTCCACTCACAGTGGTTGTCTTTGGTCAGTGAGGACCCAGGGTTCAGAAGTGCTTCTGTGTGAGTTCACCTCCCACTTGGGGAAGCAGGCTCTAGTTGGCTGCCCCCCCCCCAGCTGTGGTTCCTCTCCACTGGCCACTTCCTCAGTTGCAGGTCGTCTTTGCTGGCTACCTCACCAGCCATTCATTGCCTTGGTCATTCCACTTGCTGCCTTGCCACTTCAACGGCTAAACAACTGTCAATTACCTTCTTCTGCAATCTCTGCACATCAGTCTCTTAGTGATTTTCAGCTTTTTGCAGGCTGGCCAGAAACATTACCTCACAACAAGTGATTTCAGCTCTGATTTGAGCACCTCACATAGCAAAAGGCTCCCAGTGAACCCGATTTATCCATGTCTTTGAACAGTGGGGAGGAAGTGGTTAAACCAGACTTGTGCAGAGTCCACACCTCATGGTTGGGACACCTGTCCTCACCCCACTGACTTTCCCAGGGGGTCTAGCAATTGAGCCCCCGGTTTAGCAGGTTCCACTCAGCTGAAGGCAACCTCTCAGTCAGGACCACAGTTCTGTTCCCCTTTAGTCATACAATGAAGATAAAAATTCAATACCCCTACATTCAATACTAAAGTGATTTGTAACCAGACAGCAGCTGAAGCCAATCAGTTGGAGCTACCCAACTCCTGCCTGCTAGATTCCTACACAGAGGAGGTATGTTCATGTAAGCACAGCTTGATCTTGAAGTGTCTCCCACTCCTGAACTAGATGTCAGGGGATAGTTCATTCAGGCCCCGATTACACAATTTATTATGCAAATTCCACAATGGGACCAGCTGCAGCTCCACTTGTACCAGTACGGCTAACAGTGTTGGTAATGCTGCTATAGATCAGTTGCTGACATTTTGACCACTGTGTCTTCTAATCCTAAACCTGCTGATAATCACCAGAGTCTGGCCTACACCTGCATGCCCCCATCATTGCTATCACTAGGGAAGTTGTGCTGACTTTGGTCTTAGGATGGAAGAGTGTAACAAAGAACTGGTGTAGACAAGACCAAAATGAACAGTGTTGGTAATGCTGCTATAGATCAGTTGCTGACATTTTGACCACTGTGTCTTCTAATCCTAAACCTGCTGATAATCACCAGAGTCTGGCCTACACCTGCATGCCCCCATCATTGCTATCACTAGGGAAGTTGTGCTGACTTTGGTCTTAGGATGGAAGAGTGTAACAAAGAACTGGTGTAGACAAGACCAAAATG